CTTTAAAGTGAGCTTGATTAATGTACTAAGATCGGAATCAGAAATTTTTTCTTAAAAAATAATTAAGCTGATAATTAGGTCCTTTTCTTTCCTTCTCCAACCCACCCCTCTCCCCCCACCACCAAGAAGGACTTTTGATTTTGATCTGGTCCCTACAAGGTTCTAGAAATTTAGATTTAGTCAGTTAGAAATGTTTGGGGATCTGGTTGTCAAAACCCTGTATATCATCTGCATCTTTTATTCCCCCCCTTCATCCTACTGCCTTGTGTTGTGATTTTACAACTTGTAAGTCAGCCTCTTCAGCTAATTAGGAGTTTTGGTAAAAATAAATAGCTAAGGAGATAGTTGACACATGTACTGTGGCTAAAGGGGATTTTTCACTTATCAATTTCACTTAGCCAAGTCCAGCGTGTTTTCTTTTATGACAAATAATTTATAGTAAACTGCATTATCACATGACCCTCTTTTCCCTAGATTACTATTTATTCACTCAAAATATAAATATATTACACATTTTTTGTGTAAAAGGCAGTTTTATATTAGAGAGGTGTGATACCAGCTCGCAAGAAATATATAAACTAGGCATAGAAAATAGGTATACATTTAACTGTGGCAGAAACAGTATCATAACAATGTCATTTCCAGAAATAATCAACACAAGATAAAGAATTAGAGGTTAGGAAAAGATTGTCAAAAAATGGGAGAGGAGGAAGGTTGCAAAATGGAAAATAGCATTTAAATTCTAACTAAACTAGAACTGGATTATAGGAAAATATAAACTAAAATCTCAGGAGCCAGCGAGTCACATATCAATGGGGTCAGGAATGGTTTGTTTTCACTTGTCCCTGGATCTCCACCCCACCAACCACCCATTGGTTTGCAACTGTTAATACCAAAGGAAAAGTTAAAGTTTGGAGGATGGCAGAAAGGAAACCTGTGTTCAGAAGGGGAAGGGAGAAGGGGCCTTTTAGGAACACCTAGGTGGACTGCCAGTTCTGGAAGAAGACAAATTTCTCCATTTCCTATACATACTCGGGAATAAACCCCAGCAGTCACAGGTGGACCAGTCCCAGCTTATTCTCTGGGTAACAGACTCATTTGCCAGGTAGAGACTTGCACCATCCAGCCTGTTCTGTGCGTACCATCTTTTCTTAATTCATTCAGAAGATTACTGCAACCAGAGTCACCTTTGCACTTGTGCAACAGCTTATCACCTCTATGCTAAAATCCTTCAGATATTTCCCTTTGCTGTTACCAGAGCTGAAGGACCTACACAGCTGGCCCGTCTCATCCTCTTTGGTCTCATGTCCAACCTCAGGACTGCCCTTAGTTTGACCTTCTCTACCTGCCACCATGCCTACTATTTAACTACTTGTTTCGCTTTCCTTCACTCCCCAACTACTTGATACCGCTTGTCAACAGTTGAAGTTTTATGATTATTTGATGGTCTTTCACTAACCTGTAAACTCTAGAAAGGAGGAACCATCTTAGCCTTTGCACACAGTGAGCTTAAAACATGTCTGTTACAAATGGATGAAGTTATTGAGGCACTCATCAGGGAAGCTGAATAACATAGTGGTCGATTTCGATTCCATTTCCACATCTTTCAGAATTTCTTATCTATGGATCCCTATGTAGTAAGAGTATGTTAAATAAGAATGAAATTTCTTATTCTCATGAGAAAGACTAAGTTTGTTTGGTGAGCAGAACACAATCATCAAGGCCCCAGGCTTCTTCCAATTTTGTATAGGATAAACTTAAGTCCAGCTAAAAATCAGAGACTATCTTACTAAGGAAAAAGGTGAGGAGAGTTTACTGGGCAGTTAACAGTTTGCTGCACTGCCTAATGGTATTGTAAGGGTTAAATATATACATAAGACTCTTAGCACAGTACGGCACATGGTCAACACTCAGTTGACCACGGTTGCTGTTATTCTCTTGTTCAACATATATGTAATAATGACATACCCAAGAAGTCCTATTACCCCCATTCTTTACACTTTTTCAGCTCTTAGTCTCTTTCTTCATTATTTCTTTTTTTCATTTTATTTTATTTATTTATTTATTGGAGACAGAGTCTGACTATGTCACCCTTGGTAGAGTGTTGTGGCAGCACAGCTCACCGCAACCTCAAACTCTTGGGCTTAAGCAATTTTTTTGCCTCAGCCTCCCAAGTAGCTAGGACTAAAGGCACCTGGCAGTTTTTTGTTGTTGTTGTTGTTATTGTAGTAATTTTTGTTTAGCAGGCCCTCGCCAGGTTCAAACCCACCAGCCCTGATGCATGTGGCCAGCACCCTAACTACTGAGCTACAGGTGCTGAGCCAATTTTTTTATTTTTTTATTGTTTGGGATTCATTAAGGATACAAAGAATTAGGTTAGACTGATTGCATTTATTAGATTAAACTCCCTCTTATAATTGTGTCCCGCCCCCAAGAGGTGTGCCATATACCATAATCCTCCCAACCCCCTCTTGCCTCCCCACTCCCCACTCCCTCATTCCTTTGTCCCCCACCTGAAGGATTTGAGGTTTTTTTTTTTGGTGAGGGTATGTATTAGATCACCTACTGCCTTCATATTAGAATTGAGTATATCGGATTCTTGCTTCTCCCTTGTGATACTTTACTAAGAAGAATGTGTTCCAACTCTATCCAGGTTAATGCAAAAGATGTAACATCTCCATCTTTTTTAATGACTGAATAGTATTCTATGGTATACATATACCACAGCTTCTTAATCCATTTCTGGGTTGGTGGGTATTTAGGTTGTTTCTACATTTGGCCATTGTAAATTGAGCTGCAATAAACAGTCTAGTGCAAATGTCCTTATGATAAAATTGATTTTTTCCTTCTGGGTAGATGCCTAGTAATGGGATTGCAGAATCAAATGAGAGGTCTAATTTGAGTTCTTTGAGGGTTCTCCATACTTCCTTCCAAAAAAGCTGTATTAGTTTGCAGTCCGGCCAGCAGGGTAAAAGTGTTCCCTTCTCTCCGCATCCACACCAGCATCTGGAGCTTTGAGACTTTATGATGTGGGCCATTCTCACTGGGGTTAGGTGATGCTGAGCATATTTTCAAATGTTTGTTGGCCATTCGTCTGTCTTCATCAGAAAAGGTTCTGTTCATATATCTTGCCTAGTGGTAGATGAGATTGTTTACTCTTTTTGTTGATGAATTTGAGTTCTCTGTACATTCTAGTTATCAAACCTTTGTCAGATTGATACCCTGCAAATATTTTTTCCCATTCTGAAGGTTGTCTTTTTGCTTTACTTGTGTCTTTAGCTGTGCGGAAGCTTTTCAGCTTAATTAAGTTTCATTTGTTAATTTTTGTTGTTGCAGCAGCCGCTGAAATCTTTGTCATAAAATCTTTCCCTAGTCCAACATTGTCAAGAGTTTCCCCCACACTTCTAAGACTTTTATCATTTCATGACTTAGATTTAAGTCTTTTATTCATCTTGAGTCAATTTTTGTAGGTGGTGAAAAGTGTGGGTCGAGTTTCAGTCTTTTGCATGTGGTTATCCAGTTCTCCAGCACCATTTGTTGCATAGGGGTTCTTTTCCCCACTATATGCTTTTGTTTGGTTTATCAAAGATCAGATGGCAAGTAGAGACTGATTTCGTCTCATGGTTTTCTATTTTGTTCCATATGTCTAAGTCTCTGTTTTTGTGCCAATACCATGCTGTTTTGATTACTGTGAACTTGTAATGTAGCCTGAAGTCTGGTAGGGTGATGCTTCCAACTTTGTTTTTATTACTAAGAATAGCCTTAGCTGTGTGGAATTTTTTCTGGTTCCATACAAAACAAAGTACTATTTTTTCCAGTTCTTCAAAATATGACGTTGGTATTTAAATGGAGATTGCATTGAATCTATAGATTGCTTTGGGTAGAATAGACATTTTGACCATATTGATTCTTCTCAACAAGATCATTGTATGTTCTTCCATTTGTTGATGTCTTCTGCAATTTCTTTTCTTAGGGTTTCATAATTCTCTTTGAAAAGATCTTTAACCTCTTTTGTTAGGTATATTCCTAGTTATTTCATTTTCTTTGAAGCTACTGTGAAGGGAATTGTGTCCTTGACTTGCTTCTCAACTTGGCTGTTATTGGCATATACAAAGGCTACTGATTTGTGGACATTGATTTGTATACTTTGAGACATTACTGTATGTTTCAATCACTTCCAGGAGTTTCATGGTTCAGTCTCTAGGGTTTTCTAAGTATAAGATCATATCATCATCAAAGAGCAAGAGTTTGACCTCCTCTGCCCCCATTTGGATGCCATTTATATCCTTCTCTTGCCTGATTGCATTGGCTAGAACTTCCAGAACTATGCTGAACAGTTGTGGCCATAGTGGACATCCTTGTCTGGTTCTAGTTCTAAATGGAAAAGCTTTCAGTTTTAGTCTATTCTGTATGATGTTAGCCGCGGGTTTGTCATAGATGGCATCAATCAGTTTAAGAAATGTGTCCCTATGCCTGTTTTCTTAAGTATTCTTGTTAGAAAAGGATGCCGAATTTTGTCAAATGCTTTTTCTACATCTATTGAGTGGATAATGTCTTTGTTTTTGCTTCTATTGATATGGTGTATTATATCTTTCTTCATTCTTGAGTTAAATTACTTGGTTTACTGTGTTTGCTTACAGTTTATCCAAAGTGTGGGGAGTACATCTTTGTTTTTCTTTTCATAGTTCATGTAGTAATAGCCCTTCTGCCACTACAATGGGACTTTGCTTTCCTTAGCCTTTTTATAATTCTTGTTTATATGAAGTCAGCTGCCCCACAGCAAAGATAAACTCTGTTAATCAAATTGAGCCATAGATCTGTTTTCTTCCTGTGGATAGTGCTGTCTGGATGTGAATCAATCTTTGTTTAAATTATACCTTGACATGCAGGAGGTAGGTGGTAGAGGATGAGGGAGGAAAGTAAAGGGCAACTTTTGTGAGAATTAAATAGGACAGTGTGTGTTTATCTTTGACAATTTATTTTCTTTATTTCCTGTGAAGGCAATTGACCGAGGCCTGGGCTTTGAACTTGCCTATAGCCCTGCTATCAAAGACTCTACAATGAGGAGGTACACAATTTCCAATGCCCTCAATTTGATGCAGATCTGCAAAGGGAAGGTATGGTTCTATAATTTTAAGATGTTTTCATGTCTAGCAGCATATTATATTATTTATACACTAGAATATTCAAACTAATTTACTTTCTTCAAGTAGAAAGTTCTCAAGGCACAGAAGCAAATTTTCCCATTTCAATGAGCTTTGCAAGTTTTAAGGGAAAGAAAAATATCAAGGGAAAAATTGTATGAGAGAAAAAGCCTTTATCTTTTGTTAAGGAATTTGCAATTTACATACTGTGAAAAGAGTAGTCTAGATAACAAATGTTTGTCATCAGTGAGTTGAATTAAGGTGATAGGACGTTTTTATCTAGTTTTTAAAACTTAATTCATCTTTACTAAGATTTATTTAGAAAGTTATTCTATTTCCTTTTATAGGCTGCCTTTGTTTGGCATGGAAGCTTTCCCTTTTTTCCACTTTAATTATTTACCTTATCTTTGAAACAAGTTGGTATTTGAGCTTTAAATTTAAAAATGTGATTACTGGTTATGTGTATTATGAGATTCTTCAATTGCTTTTTTTTTTTACATTTATCTAAGATTAATATTGATCACTTTCTATTTTGTAGAATGTAATTATTTCTAGTGCTGCAGAAAGGGTAAGTCTAACTCGAAGTACTTTGTTTTCACCTTTAAAGTTAGGAAACTTTGCAGATTCAAACTTTGTAATGAAGGTTTATTGCATGTTTTCTATTTTAACTATTCATTTGCTTATTGTAATTGCTGCGGAATAACATCTTCATTCTCTTCAGCTCACATTCCCTTTATGTAAATAGTTTTTTCTTTATACTGTTACAAAATGCTTTTCAGAGTTACTTTACATTTTTAAAGATTTATGAAGCCCATCAAAATTATAAGGACTTGTGTAGTTAACTTTCTTTTTTGAGGGTATGTAAGTATGTTACTAATCTACTACAAATGAAGTCATGGAAATGTTATGAATACTTTCTCTCCTATCTATTTATTTTATTTTAGCCTTTAGAAATCAGAGGGCCGTATGATGTTGCAAACTTGTATCCTTTTCTGAGTTAAGAAGTTGGCGAAATTTTCTTTTAGCAGATTTGGAACTTGAAAGAAGCAGTATTGTTTAACATGATATTTTTCTCAACCTTTTACTATAATTTTATCAATTAATAGTTTAAGACACAAATTACATCAGATTGTAGATAGCTTTGTCCCTCTGTTTTTTAGATTAAGCATGAGATGGTTTTTTATGGTAAAACTTTAGAGTTAAATGAGTGTCTTCTCAGATGTATGTTCCAGCTGGGCTAAGAACTGCTGTGAATTAACTGGTCTCCCACCAAGACCAGGCTAGCTGGCATCTTCAGATGTTTGTGTTACTCTCGTGTCCTCGGCTGACTCTGAGTTGAGATCTTTAACGGCCCCACCAGAGGGTTGCTGTTTGGACTATCCGAAAGTGATGCCAAGGCTGCAGTGTCCACCAACTGCCGAGCAGCACTTCTCCATGGAGGTGAGCAAATTCTTCCAATAAAACTGGATGGTTGCATTAGAAGCCAGTCATTTTTCATCAAATAGTTGAGCCACCTATTTTTATTATCCTGCCCTGCAGAGTTCCTTTGAAGTGATCTTTTCTCAGTCTATTCTAACCTTTCTTGCCTTCAATTCAGACTTTCCTTTCTGTAGTTTGTGCAATGAATATAGTTTGCATTACGGAAATGAGTATTGAAGGAGTTCTTTCAACCTATACGTGTATGTTCCTGCCCAAATCTTCTCTTATGTATGTATTTATTTATTTAAGACAGGGTCTCACTGTGTCACCCATGCTGGAATGTAGCCTTGAACTCTTGGGCTTAAGTGATTCTCCCGCCTCAGTCTTCCGTACATGTACCAGGTCGTCCGCTTCCTGGAGCATATTTTGATAGCCACTTCTAGTCTCCCTGACTCCTTCCTCTCCAGAAGGGCATGCCTTCCCTATTGAAATGTTCTCTTTTAAGAGCCATTATGTTGGCTCGGCGCCTGTGGCTCAAGCGGCTAAGGCACCAGCCACGTACACCCAAGGTGGCGGGTTCGAATCCCCAGCCCAGGCCCGC